ATTAATAATGCGTCAAATTGGAACACCGGAGAAACTGTGACCAAAATATTATTTAATATCCCCACCGCCATTACTTTCGGCGGGGACTGTATATATCGGCATTTTGATCTTTGCCGAGAAAATCTTTGACCATCATCACGCGGACGCAGTGAAATTACTCACATGAATCTCGTCACATGCAACGGCACAGCAAAAGTCTGGCATATTCACGTGCTAGGGTTTGATTATCTAACCAATAAATTTATGACGTATGTAACGTGATTTAACACTGAATTTATTATAAATTTATAACCCTAACACAAACACGTAAAAAAAATTTCTCAGACTACAGTTTAAAATGTCGCATATACAAGATTACTTTAATCGAAAATATTCTGAATGGAATATCATAGGTTTTTTAAATGAATGTAGTAAAGAACCGTTTGAGTCTAAAGTAGATGCGTACGTCAAAAGCCTTAAGAATATTATCAAACGTGAGCGAGGTTCTAAGCAAGGAAAACCATGGATTCTTCTTAATAAATACAGGGAGGCAAGTATGATTTCTTATCAGTATAGGTGAATAGTGGCGTGACGAAGGAGCCTTCTTGGTCCAAAGATCAGTGTTGAGGCACAGAAAACCTTTTAGGTTTCTTGATGTTCAGGGCTTTTAGCCGACTAGCCTGGTCCCGTTAAGGCATATAGGTTACCCGATGTTCAAGGCTTTTTGCCGACTTAATGGAATGAAAACCAAAAAAAAATCCAATAAAAAAAGTAGTTAATTTTGCTAATTTTTAAAATCTTTATTCGTAGGGGTCTCGACCCGATCGCCAACGGGCAAAGAAATGGGATATCGAACGCTCAAGCAGGCAGTTACATCTTCACCAATCAACACTTTTAGATGGTGTTGTTCATGGGAACATAAATAACGGTGGAAATGGAAATTTTATTCTTAATGTAAGAATTAAACTTGACGAATAGTATTTTGCGGTACTCTAAAAATAATTTAATTTCGAATAGACTCGAGAGCCAGACAATGAAATTTTCCGTATTTCTCCACCACGTGTTGTTGCTTCTCCCCTTCAACATGGCTCAAATTCACAGGAACGACCACAAACTTCCGATCCATCAGATGTTTCCATATCTCCTGGAATCGAGGTAATTATATTTACATTAACATTTAGCACGAAAAAACTGTTTTTCTTAAACCTTTTGGATGTGTACACAGGTAGAAACTGATGCATATAACTCTGAGAACGATGAAACAAGTGATTTGGATACACCAGATCACGAGGTAATTGCATCTGGCAGGTGTTATTAGCCGTAAATATTTATTATTCTCACTACTATCTGTCTTGTG